CCCCAAAACCCCAAAACCCCAAAACCCCAAAACCCCAAAACCCCTTTCATTTTAAACTTTATAGATTTGTTAAATTTAAATTAATTCCTGAATATGGTAAGAAAGGCGCCATTAAGACTGCAATGCTTCCATTCAACTCATTTACAATTTTTTAGACCAATTTTCTAACCAGATTATATAGCTGAAAGACATCACAAACGTGGTAAATAATACTGAGAGTGACAAGAAGATTGACGTGAATAAAGTACTTAAGTCTTCAGTCAAGGATACAGAACATGTCCTGAAGAGTCCCAGCAGTCACTGCCAATCGCCATATCAACCCTTAGCAAAATATAAGGAAGGTGATGGGGTTATGAAACAGATTGATTTCTCTTCAAGTCTTGACTCTAACAAGGAGAATATTCATAACTCGCAGAACCATACAGATGTCTTTAACAAAATATGTAACTATGAGACTCCTGATGAGACTCTTAACGTATTAAAGCCTGTGACACACAATGCACCAGGTACCAGTGCTACCAAATTCGGTAGTGGGTCTCATGAGCTAGTTATTGAAACAGATAGCAAGGAGGAGCTTTGAATGAAATCAGCTCTGAAGGAACGGAACTCTCCCAAAATAATGGACATTAAGATTCCCAAGTTCAATCTCTCTTCTGACGAAGAAGAGCCGGGTAATGAAAAGAGCTATATTTTGAACAAATTAGCAGCTAGTTTTGAATCCCCAGTGTCCAACTCAAGCGACGAGATTAAGTTTAAAGTACTAAAAAGTCAGAATGAAGAAGAAAGTTGAACCGAAAGTGACGATAGCATCAAAAGACATATTCTTAAAACTGCAGTCAAGAAGAAGAGGAACAGGTCCCATAGCTCTTCCAATAGCGAACCCTTAAGCAGGAATTCAGGAATGGGTATGAATAAAATAGATATGAACAATATTGAGAACTTTGAATCTCCGAGGAATGATTCAAAGGAGCCACCACAGAATAAAATTTTTGAATATGGATCCTCTAAGAGTTCAAAATCGTTTGATTACAGTATGAAAGAATGCCCGATCACTCCAGATAAGCGGAACAAGAGGGCTGTCAATAACATGGATTTGCGAAGTCCAGTGACTAGGATTTTGACTTTAGACCAGTCCTCGGCAAAGGTATACCTCCTCACTAACCTATAGTTACTTAGGAAAGTAGCATATTCTATGATAAAGGATACAAAGAAGGCAGCTCAGAGTGCACAGATTTCTCACAAAGGGTTCTCTCCTGAAAAGTTAGCTAAGAAGCTTGAGTATATCTCTGAAGAAGAGTCCTTAACAGGATCTAACGTGCCGAGTTCAGTTATCATTACAGATTCTGAGGTCTCAGAGAACACCAGGTGGAGGAACTACGGCAAGAAGAAGGTCAAGAAGGGAGAAATTTATGATATCATTAATAATAGACTTTATGTGCTTGAATCTGCTAAAGAAGATGTTGTTCAACCAGCTAAAGATGATAGTAATTCCTTTGAGAAAACTGAGGCATTGATGAAGAAATGCAAAGCTCTGAGTAAGAAAATTAAGCCATTGAATGATAAGTTTTACACTGACTACACTGTCATCGAGATTGTTGGGAACGGAAACTTCGGACAAGTTTATAAATGTACCCTTAAATCCGACTCATCAGAAAAGCTACTAGCAGTGAAGAAGTCTAAAGTACAATTCATTTCTTACAAGGATCGGCTTGCAAAGGAAGAAGAGATTCGAAAATGGCAGATCATTACCAATAAAAACCTTAAGAATGAAGGATTTCAGTGCATTAAGCTGTACGAGTCATGGGAAGAAAACGGTTATATCTTTAGTAGTAGTGAATACTGTGAAAATGGAAATCTTTCTCAGTGGCTGCAAGCCAAGAAACACAAGCTAACTGATAGAGAGGTTTATAACTGTATTAAAGATATGGCTAAAGCCATACAGCAAGTCCATCAGTCTGGGATCATTCATATGGATATCAAGCCTGACAACTTCTTGGTTACAAAGAATGAACGGATTAAGCTAGGAGATTTTGGACTTGCAATCCAATATAACGATAAAGGACAAGTAAAAGAAGGAGATAATCAGACTGATGTTCAAAGAAGTGAGCCCTTCGATATTTCTGAAGGGGATGCATCCTATCTTGCGCCAGAACTTTTGAATTTCAACCCTCTTGTGAGTCCAAAGATAGATGTCTTTAGCTTCGGGCTGACTCTTCTAGAATGATTCAATAGTAGCGGAATTTCAAAGCTTCCTCAAAACGGAGATTTATGGATAAAAATCAGAGAGGAGAATCCATCAAGTTTTGTCGAATACCCATACCAAGGCCTTAGCGAGTTGATAGATAATATGACTCTAAAGAACGTCAACAACAGATACACCATAGAACAAGTCCTTTGCAGCTCATTTATGAAGCGTTTCGAAGAGAAAAAGCAGATAATCCCAACACAAATTGATCTGAAGCATGAAAAAGTAAAGAACACGGCTGAGTTATCAAATTTGTTGAAGAAATTACAAAAGCAAATAGTTGAAAAGAGAATGAAAGTTGATAAAAGAGTTTCTAGCGAAGGTAAAATGAAAAGGACCAACTGCTCCAAAGGGATTAACCGAGATAATTGCGAAGCTTATTGTAATGAGTTTGAGACTCCTCAAACCTCGAAGATAAATCCAAGGACTGGCTATAGTGCCTCTGTTAACAAGAAAGAGTCCTCTATCATTAAGAAACCCTTCAAGTGGAATTTTAGCGAGAAAGCTGTGAATAACTTGAACAAGAAGAAAATATTTAAGTACAGGAATCAGAATATGTCTAGCTCTATTAGGAGAGTCTTGGAAAAGCTGAATTCTTCTGATATGAAGAACCTTAAGTTTACTAAAGGTGTCAAGAGCAAGAAGATATAAATTCCAAGCCTGCACCTCCCTTCGTCTCCAACCCATTTAATAGAAAACAAAGTAATGTTATGAATAAGGTGAAGGGACTGAGGAGCTCATACAACAATACAGATATGAACTACCACTTAAAGCAGAACAAGAAAGGAAATAAGAGAAAGAAGAGTGAGAAGAGCAAGAAGAGAAAGAAAAGCGATCTTAGGCCAAAGAAGATATCCCAAGGAAGTAGCAGCTCAAGATCCCGTAGAAAGAAAGTATCTTCAAAGATTAGTAGATCAGGACAAAGAAAGATCCATAATAGCAAGAACTCTAAAAAGGACTTTAGTTTTAGTAAGCCTTCTAGATATTTGAATCAGATCCGTACTGAGAACAGACCTTGCAAGCTAAAGCAAACGAAGAATACAATTAGTCGTAACTCCCTTCAGGCTCGTAAGAACAATTATAATCCTGTATACACTCCTGTGAAGAAACCATACTACTTGAACCATGTTGTGGGGTCTAAATCGAACAAATAAATCAGGCATAGTTCGTACTTCTCAGAAAGCAGTGACTACATTCGAAAGTATCTGGAGTGCTTACACTGATAAGCAGCTACGCCGCTTCAATTTTGCAAAGGATGCTAATGACAGAATTGTTCCGCTGAACCTGTACCACAAATTTAACCATAAAGTCGGTAATAACACTAAATCCGTGAAGGAGATCTCCAGAGCAAAGTCCAAGCCAAGGCAGTTAAAAAAAGCAAGGTAAGTATTCCTAGAATAATAATGGAGGATGTATCTAGACAAGGAAAAACAAAGGGTCAGAATCAGGGTAAAGGAGAGAGCGCCAAGAGGGTTCAGTGGAAGGGAAAGATTAATTTTCATACCAACTCGTTGAGCAAACTTCCATTAGAGTTGACTAAGTTCCTTAAAAAGTAATAATCTTCAACTTTGCCCTCTCCACACGGGGTTTTGGGGTTTTGGGGTTTTGGGGTTTTGGGGTTTTGGGGTTTTGGGG